TTGCAGGTTATTAACTACTCTCATTTAGAGGTGGTATTGTGTACCTTGGCTTTGGAAATGGCCTCTGCATTACTGCTAAGGTCATCGATCTCCATCTTCATTTCGCTCTTCTCCTTCTCCAGTTTCTGCTTGACCCTCTGCAGGTTGTCTATCTGCTCCCCGAGCTCGGCCACACTGTCCGCGTGCTTCTTCCGCAGAGCGGCCGCCGTGGCTTCATGCTGCAGGGTGGCCTCCTCCAGGTCCCTGCGCATTTTCTGGAACTCAGTCTCCCGCTTCTTGTTCATCTCAATCTGGGCTGAAGTCGCCCCACCGGCTTCTTCGAGCCTCTCGCTGATCTCCTCCAGTTCCCGGGAGAGGTCGGAGCGCTGCTTCTCTGCTTTGGCCCGGGAGGCGCGCTCTGCCTCGATTTCCTCCTCCAGCTCCTCGATGCGGGCCTGAGAATGACACAAGCACATTAACATAAACTTGTCTCAATTTCAAGTTTTTTGGGGTGCAGAAAAAACAGAGGTGAGATGACTTGCCTGTAACTCTTTGATCTTCTTCTGTAGTTGAATTTCTACTGCCTGCTCATCTTCAATTTTGCTTAGCAGATTGCTAATTTCAAATTCTTTCCTTCAGACAGAAGAACAAGACATATTAGAAGTACCCATATGAACTGAAAGGTGCTATCACATAGAATTTTTTCTGGAGTTCCTACTTTTTCAGTTTTTCATCAAGTTGCTGTTTGTCATTTTCTATGTCCATTGTGGATTCTTGGGCCAGTTTTAGGTCACCCTCCAGTTTCCTCTTTGCTCTTTCTAGATCCATTCGAAGTTTCTTTTCTTGTTCTAGAGACCCTTCAAGCTAATGAGAAAGTAAAATTTGTTAAAAATTGAAAGTATATCAAAAAAATCTTTCAAGTGAATATTAAAAATACACTTACATCATCCACTTGCTGCTCTAGCTTGGTTTTAGCTTTGGTCAGGGTGCTGACTTTGTCCTCTTCTGTCTGCAGGTCATCCAGGGTCTGCTGGTGGGCCTCTTGGAGGGCCTTCTTCTCCTTGGTCAGCTTAGCAATGGTTTCGTCCAGACCTGCCATCTCCTCTGTGAGGTTTTTCACCTTGGAAAATTGAGAAGAAATGGTCTCTGCAATAAAGCAGCTTCACTGGATGGCAGAACCTCTATATGATGGAGCAGATTATGATTCATACCTTATTTTCTGTGGCATGTTTCTCCTTTTCAACCTTGGCCAGTGTCAGCTCAAGGTCATCAATGTCCTTCTTGAGCTCTGAGCATTCGTCCTCCAGTTTCCTCTTCTTGGCCGTCAGCTCAGCGTTGATCTCTTCCTCATCCTCAGCTCTCTCAGTCGCCTCCTTGATTTTGGCCTCCAGCTGGATTTTGTTTTTAATTAGTTGCTCACACCTTTCCTCTGCATCAGCCAGGGCGTCAGCTTCCTGTAGAGAGATTCATTGGGATATTTAGAGAATTTGTTACTTATTTTGAACTTGTTCTTTGCACAAAATAGTAGTGTTTACTGAATTCTGATGAATTTCTCAGCATGAATATAAATTAAAGTTAATTGAACATTATTACATGACTTGGAGAAATGCAGCTAATTAGAAGTGAGACTATAGATTTAGAAGCAAATTAGTGTGAAAAATGATTGTATTGAAGCAATCGACTATTTTAAAAAGTAGTGTGTAGAAGAGTGGAAGGATCAAAGGAAGCCTGGGTTCTTGCCCCAAATTTGCCTGCAAATGTACAACCTTGGGCAAATTGCTTTATTCCTCTTACTTTCAATCATCTTATATGTAAGGAAGGGGGTTGGAATACATGATTGCTAAGAGCATTTCAGCTGTAATATTCAAAGATTTTCACTTAGTCAATTGGTTGGTTTTGGTTTTGATCATTCCTCACTCACCTCAAACAACTAGTTGCTAGATTAAATTTAAAACAGAAAGGAAAAAGAACTTAAGTAATTTTATGCCTATGAGTACATTTCCATGCAGGAATTTTTAATACACTCAAAACCTTCCTGATAGTCCACAACAGTGCTATAATTGTCCAAAATTTCCAATTTAAGCATTACCTATTAGTCTCAAAATGAATTTTAAAATATAAAGTACATGTAATTTTGAGAAAATATATAGCTCCATAAAGTTTTTATAAGTGACTAAAGGACTCAGATAAAAATCAGTTCAGCCACTAACTTATTAGATTACTCTGGCCTGGGGAATTTCTGTAACTTCTCAGTGTTTGTTTTGTTCATATCTTGAGTTTTTAAAATGCTTAAATGGATGATAATGGGGGATCTCCCAAAGTCCCTTTGCTTTTGTTTTCAATAGTGATACACTCAACAGATATTACTCACTGACTGATGATACACCTATGAAAAGAGGTTAAGATCAAGAGGCTGTGATCCTATGCTTTTGGGAAAATGAAACCTTTGTATAAGTGAAATTAGAAGGAAAAGTTGAAAATAGCTTAAAAAGTTTAGGAAAATTATCCTTTTCACGGGTTTCTTCATGACGGTCGGTGTTGGGCTTGTTGGACCGAGAAATGGGAGGTTGTGTTTGGCCAGAGCGCTGCTGCCAAACCTCCTGCAGATTCTGATGACAGCTCCTTCCTGAACCAATAAACAGAGGCCTTAAGAACTTGGGATCTGTGTCAAAGGAAGACTCACAGAGGCACTTCGCTCTGCCTCACAGCCTGCTGGTGCAGTTCGGGTAACAGCAAATAAATTTACTGAGCTGAAACTCAGGGGTTGGGGAAAGGGGATACAGAGAGGAATAAGAATAACTGGCTTTCTTGATTTTAAGTACAGTCTCATTCACTTGGATTCAGAAAAGATGACTATCCCTTTAAGGATGGGATGGAGTTGGCAAGGCAAACTGAGTTTTGGGGACCTGCCTTTAAATGTCTCCCTTCACGACTGGAAAGTCGTGATGTCGTTAAATACGTTCTTCAGCCTTCCTCCTCTATTTGTAATTTGGAAGTGATTGTGCCTTACTTCCTCATAGGCATGTTGAAAGTTAAGTGAACTCGTAAAAAAAGCAACTCGAGATTTTCTTTTTCAAGAAAAGGCCTTTTGTAAATTCAAAGTGTCTGTGAATTCTAGAAAAGCTCTGTAACATGGTGCATTGAGAATACAGTGCACTCACTGATTGAACCTGGAGTTGCAGGTCATTTTTTTCTTTCAAGAGAGTGACCATTTTCTCCTCCAGTTCCTTCCTTTTTGCCTCTGACTTGGCGAGTTCGTCTTTGGTTTTCTGAAACTCCTCCTTCATGGTGGCCATCTCCTTCTCAGTCTCCGCACTCTTGAGGAGCGGCTTAATCTTGAAGAAGAGTTTCATCCAGGGCCAGTGCTTGACGTTCATGAAGGCTCGTACATTATACTGGATGCAGAAGAGGGCTTCTCTAAAATGACGTAAAAGCATGAGTGCAGGATGATCCATTAGAGACAATGTCATTGCTATGGTTATTTTTTTACACGCAAACTCCCCTTTTAGTGACTCCCCTACTGTAACCGATATGTCAGATTTTGTATATGTTAGATGCAGGCTTTATGCACACACACGTCCTCACACTCACACTCAGTAGTCCTCAGTGTAACCACTTTGCTGATGTATACTGCTCATATTGAACAATTCTGTGTTCTCAAGTTCCTATCAAACCAGCAAAGACGTTGACTTTAGGGGGAATGCTTGGCACGTATGAGCGACACATACCATTTTAAGATCATTTGAAATATTGCAGTATTAGTGGTTTTGGAGTGGATGTGGCAGTTGTAAGTTGATTGTAATGCTTGGCCGTGGGCATACAGATATGAACTGTGAAATGGCGTAGGTTGCTTTCTGAATTGCCCCATCTAAATTGAGCTTATGATTTATTGTGTTTTCCTTGAAGCCTTTCCTCTTACTTTAATCACCCCTGAATTATCCACTTTATAAACTCATTTTGTTAGCTTCTTCAGATAATATACTGGCTTTTCTCAAATTACTTCAAATGCCTCATTCTTACCTGCTCAATTAGTTTGTTAATATTCACAGGGCGTTCAGCATGGGTTGAGCTCCAAAATTTGTTTATTTAAATAAAATTTAAAAATGGTAATAAAAGATAACCCTTCTGCAAACTATAGCAATGGACTGGCAAGGTTTGACCTTGTAGCGATATGTACGTCTCTTCAAGCTTGCTAAACTGGAAATTCTATTTCTATACATCTAATTTATAAGAACCGTAACTCTGAGAAGGCAGATACCATGACACAAACTATGATGTAGGTACATGGAAAAGACTTAGGAACACTTATAACGCAGACCTAAATAAGTAAAGATGAGCAAAATGAATGCAAAATCTGTGTGTAATGACAGGGAATGCAGTAGTACAGGGTGGATAGAGCTTAATTAGAGAAAGGATGAGGTTAATTAGAGAAAGGAGAAAAGGAAATTTTGAATTTGTAAATAGATAAATTAGGATGAGAGGAGAGAGCTTATGCAAACATGAAAATGGGAGATAAGCAAATTGTTTAGCTTGCCTGGGAAAGTCTGTGTGGTTGGAAATGATAAATGAGGTGGGGAATAGAGAGGGCCTTGACAGCCGTGCAAGACAACTTGGACTTGACGTGGGAGACCAGGGGGAACCACAAACTGAACTATGGTGATGAAAATAGTGCTTACTGCAAGTTATTCCTGCAGCTGTATGTGAGATGGATGGAAAGGGAGAAATTGGAGAGAAGAGGGAAGTTTTGGAGGGAATCCATGTGTAAGGGGTTGAGCAAAGGCTGCTGGGTTGTAGGACTGAGTTCTGAACTGGGTGAGAGGCACATTTTAGCTATAAAATGAAAGAGTCAATGAGGAAGGCTGATTTATAGTCCCTAAGGGACACTACAATTCTGATATGTTGCATGGTTGTTACCTCCTTTGCAACATCTTCTGATATTCTACCCTCATTAGGAATCCCCTACAGACGGCTTGAGTTCTTGTTATAATCTGGGCCAACTTTTCATCTCTCATTTCTTCCAGGAGACCCAGAAGGCCAGCTTTGAAGAAAACCTGCAGAAAGGGAGAGTCACAAGTCATTCCTATACTACAGGAGACACAGAAATGACAGAAGGTACTTGGATCAGGTGTAAATAAATAATAGCTATACCTTTGTATGTCCAAATTTATACTGGGTGTGATCAATATCAATAGAGGCAAGAAGTTTCTCAGAAGCCTTCTTGCTGTCGATGAACTGTCCCTCTGGAATAGCACTTGCATTTAAAAGTTTGTATCTGTTCAGTCAAAGAAAGGAAGAATGATTAGGAAGATGTGAACATCTGTGAAAGTCAAATGATACCCAAAAGAAACATTAATAAAAATCTCAGAGAAAAAGTAGAAGTAGAAGATCCAACTGTCCTTTAAGTTCAGTTAGTAAAACAATATGATTTTTTTGTGGTCTAATGCATGCTCCTTCATATTTTTAAGAAATGCCATCTTTTCTAGCCTGTTATTCTGTTCTACCGTCACAAGACTATATTATTTGACTTCTTAATGTTATAATATTTACTAAGCAAGATACATGAAATACAATGAACAGGGGACGACAATTACGATGATTAAATATTCACAGCATTCAGTGAAATACAACAGAGACTGGCCTTTGTTTAAAATCCCCATATAAGATCCTGCTTGGGAATCCTTTCCTGCAGATGCGGATGCCTTCCAGCACACCATTGCACCTCAGCTGGTGCAGGACAAGTTCATGCTCCATGGCCCCTAAAAATATATCAGAGGGCTTACTGCTGGGCACTGAGTTTACAAGACTTGTGCCTGTTTGGCTATTTCATGCTCTTATATCTTACCAGGAGTTTTGGTTTCATTGGGAATGATACACCGTACGAAGTGAGGGTGTGTGCTCCTCAGATTGGTCATCAGTTTATTTAAATTTTCCTAGAAAACCAGATAAAAGGGAATTGATGAGAAAGTTCTATTTCAGATTGCTTTTTTTGTAATTACATGGAACAAACCTAGGCACTCCGTTAACTGTTAGGTATAAGTCTGTGAGGCTTCAGTTGCTTTGTATTTTAAAGATCTTAGGAGTTCCAGCATGCCAATGAACCAAAAGGCCAAAGTGCTGGGACCAACTGCAGCTCTCCAGGGTATTCATTTATAACCCCTAGGATCTATGCTGTAAACAAACTGCACATTCAGTAGCCTTGAAGCGCAGGAAGTCTTCTCCACCAGGAATCAAAAGACCAAAGACTGCGGTCTCGCTGTGCCGCTCATGAGCTGCTTGACTCTAAAATCCCGTTTGTCTCTCCAGGCCTCGTCTGAAAATAGTTGAGATTACCTCTGAGGTCTCTTACATCTCTCTCAGTGCTAATACTTTTCACAGTAGTAATTCGGTAACCTAGGTTAGCAATTGTGCCAACTTTTGCCATTCCTTCCTCAAGTTTGTTATTCTCTGGGACTTGTAACCTCTTGTTTTGTATTGTCTTTTGAAGAGTCTAAAATCATGAGACTGTACAACTTTGTGCGGGTGGATCTTGTGTACCTGAGAATGATCCACAGTCTGAAGTATCTGGGGGGAGTTACTCCAGAAATAGAGTCAGTGTTTATGACAGATGATGATGTTTTACTTTACCGTAGAAAGCTCACATGTAAATGTTTCTCAGTATTTCTTAGGTATACTCTTTGAGAAGGCAGAGATTTGTTTGAGGTTTTTTTCACATCTCAGTTACCCATTAGGAAATAAACAAAACAAGTGATGTGAGTTTCTAATCTTGAAAACATATACAAGGATAAGTTGATGAAACTAGAGTCTATTTGGTGAGATAATGCAAATTGGTAGTGAGACAGGAAAAGAACAGGGCAGTTTTCCTGTTTAGGTCATAGGTCATATGTGCATTTTAGTTTTAAAAGGAATGGGACTTAGCCATACAAATTCTGACAAAGCAGCTGTTAGTCCAGACATTTTGTACACTCCCCTTTAGACGAGCTAGTTTTTAAGCCACCTAAGAAAATCAGATTATTTTTAATAAAATTATTATTATTATTTCAACATCAAGAAATACTTTCTAGCTTAATCATCCATCTAAATCACTAGGCCTGGCTTTAGATGATTTTCGGCTATTACAAACAATTAAATCCACCTCAGAGGACAAAGATGTGTTTTGGTGGAAGGGTGTCCTAAAGAGTGTGTCTGAACCTCATTGTCAAAGAGGAGCTCAGGAACATTCTCAAAAGGCAACATTAGAGGGATAACGATATGGCTTTCCACAGGGATAGTCTTGAAGTTCAGCTAAACTTCTTTAAAAATCAGGCTTATTATATAATAAGCAAGCTTCTGAGGACATTTTGGCAGTCCTGAGTGCATTAGATGATCGTAATAAGGAATAATGGGTGAAGCATCGGACCCTACAGGAGAAGTATTGCTTCGGCTGTACCCTGACAAGAATGAATATTTAAAGTGATTCCTATTAACATTCCGTTCCCTCCTAATTTATTCCAAATGCAATAATTATGATAATTCATAGAAACTGAATAGGTTTTTCAAATTAAATTTGTACTTTACCCTGAAAAGGGCTGACACAGTCTGGAAAGAAGAGCCCTTCTTCTTAGCACCTTTCTTTGCGCTGCTGTCTGAGGTAAAAAGAAAACCCATCAATTAAAGTAGAATCCCAGGGGTTGGAATGGTATGTGAACATTCTGTGGGAACAGGTTTAATTTAGATTAAGGGCACAGAAAGTACCTGCTTCAGCACTAGCATATGTGGAAAAGAGACTGGCCAGAGTCTTCATTGCAGACTTCTGGTACAGCCCAACCACGGTGTCATTCAGGGGGTCCTTATTCTTATCAAGCCAGCCAGTAATGTTGTAGTCCACAGTGCCGGCATAGTGGATCAGCGAGAAGTGGGCCTCAGCTTTGCCTTTAACAACCTTGGGCTTCTGGAAGTTGGCAGACTTGCCCAGGTGCTGGTCATACAGCTTGTTCTTGAAGGAGGTGTCTGTGGCCTTGGGGAACATGCACTCCTCTTCCAGGATGGAGAAGATGCCCAGTGGCTGAATTCAGAAAAGTAAACATTGGTGGCAACCTACCTTTTCTCAAAAGATATACATAGGGGCTGTCATTTGATCAAATTATGAAACAGTAATTTTCTAATTTGTTCTGATATCAATTAAATATATTTGTAAAGTAAACCAGGGTCACAGCTCAAAGAAGCCCTTTTGTTATCACTAGAATGACTTTTTCACCCTTTTTTCTCATATTCAGTCCACAGCATCATTTTCAATGAAGAGAATAGACAGATACAAACTCCAAATGTCAGCACAGCATGTGGGGGCGATTTGTTAAAATGTTCTGTATTTATTGCACTTTTTCCCTATTGAGTGAATTAATTTATTGTTAAAGTTCTCGTTTACTATGAAAAGGACTTGCTGACTTAGAATGATGTTTACTTTATATGCAATAATTAAACAGTATAAATAACCCAAACCTTATTTAAGGCATTTTGTGTATTTAATCTCCTTAAAGACAGATTATGAAGAAGCATAAGCAATTTGACTTCTTGACTTCAAGATTATCTTTTATATAAGCCCCAGTTGTGTTACAAGTGCATTCATTTTTATTTAGAAAAAAGACTATTTCTGATGCTGACACTTTGATCATAATGGAGATGGATTTAGAACTAATGAGATAGTTCTTCTAGTGAACGGGACCATCTCAATAGAATTTTCAGTGCTGCTTTAAAATTAGATTTGAGTCAGTGTTAGAACAAAACGGGTTAGAACAAAATGAAACTAAACATTCTCTCATCCTTCTTATGTAAAAGTTGAAAGGAGAAGGTTAATTCTAAACAGTAATTTTCTAATTTTTTCTGATATCAATCTATGAAAGATTACAGTAATACTTTCTGGAGTTGCTTAAGACACTCGGAAGAGTTATCCTTATGATTCATCCTTTCTTTAGAAGTCAGACAGACCTTCTCGATGAGCTCAATGCAGGCAGCCAGGTCCATGCCGAAGTCGATGAACGTCCACTCGATGCCCTCCTTCTTGTACTCCTCCTGCTCCAGCACGAACATGTGGTGGTTGAAAAACTGTTGCAGTTTCTCGTTGGTGAAGTTGATGCACAGCTGCTCCAGGCTGTTGAACTGCACAAAACAAAATTTCCAACATTAAATGGATTTTTTTGTTCAGTAAGGAAGATTGGCTCTGAGCTAACATCTGTTCCAATCTTCCTCTTTTTGCTTGAGGAAGATTGTCACTGAGCTAACATCTGTACCAGTCTTCCTCTATTTTGTATGTGGGACGCTGCCACAGCATGGCTTGTAGGTCTGCACCCAGGATTTGAACCGGTGAACCCGAGGCTGTCAAAACGGAGCATGTAAACCTAACCACTATGCCACCGGGGTGGCCCCTTAAATGGATTTTTATTGAAGTAAATTCATTACTGAAAAAATATTTTGTTGAAAAAATGTGGAATATAGTAATAAAATAAATTTTAATTTAGTTCTTTCAAAAATCCCAGGGGAAAAAATGATTATTTTTGACATGACCCTTTTTCATGAATTCTGGGCATTATTTAAGGGCACAGGTGTCAATCACACAGCAAGAGTTCTGGTAGAATCCACCTCCTACCACCTCTAAGATTGCATGGGCATTAATATACATTAAAAGTACAATCTTGATCTTCTGAGTTATGGTTCAGCTTTAAGGGTGAAAGTAATTTATGGGAAAGCCTCACTTCTTTTATTACCCCCACTCCCTAATTCAAGATGAAATTTCACATTTTCACTTTTGGCTGTCGCGTTATTAAGGAAAGCTTATCTTAAGACCTTTAATTGACGTTAAGTAAAGCTTATCTTCAGGATAAGTTAAGGAAATATTACGTTATTAAGGAAATGTCACGTTATTAAGGAAAGCTTATCTTAACACCTTTAATTGATGTACAACGTGAGGTCTGTGAAAATAGAGACCTGATGTGGTCTAGCAGTTGAAGATCTGAAAGAATCTTTGTAATAATTTCCGTCCTCATTTCATAGATGATGAAGTTGATGCCCTGGCAGGGAAATGGTGTGTATCAGGTGAACCAGGAAAAGAGGAAAGACTGTGAACTGTGTCTATGCTTCTA